GTGGCCTCAACGGCTGGAGCTGAACCAGTCTGAAGCCAGGAGCCAGGAGCCAGGGGCCAGGGGCTTGTCTGGAACTCCCACACGGGTCCAGGGTCCCAAGTCTTTAGGCCGTTCTCAACTGCCTTCCCAGGCCACAAGCAGGGAGCTGGATGGGAAGTAGGGCTGCCAGTATATGACACGGCGCCCATGTGGGATCCTGGTATGTTCAAGGTGAGCACTTTAACCACTATGCTATCGTGCCAGGCCCATCTGCCATTTACTTTAATATATCTATTTACACAAATACCTCTTTTGGAGTTTCTTTAGCATTTTCATAACAAGTTTTTTTTGTTTTGTTTTTTGTTTTTTCCAAGTATTTAATGTCCTCATTTTTGCCGAGTTGTTTTTCTGTCTGTATTTCATGAAGTTCGGGGTGTAATGATTGGTTTAATAATGAGTACAAGATTGCCAGAAACACATCTTTTGTTAGATTTTCTAATGTGTTTTACATGGGCAGAATCTTCCTTTAGAAGCTTTCAGGTGAAACTTGTTTTGTGCTACTTACATTTTGATGGTGTTTCATTTGATCATAGTTAAAATCTCCAGTTTTTTTATTTTAACAGGCTGTTTGCTTTTTGATCATTTTTAGTAGTCTGTTTAACCAGCCCCCAAATCGGGTGGCAGAATTTTGCTTTAAATAAGACGTGATCACCATCTGGTGGTGAATAATAGTAGCTTCAGTTTGGATATTGTGTTATGGTCTAAAAGTGCTTATATAAATAACTAGAAATTACAGTAAGTCCATTTTTTCTGACTTTGGACGAGATTTCAACCAACTATAAGATGGTATATTTATGTTATCTACTTCTTGTTTCATGAGTGTTTGAAAGAAACTCAAATTATTTTGAAATCAATTATGAGAATTCTTCACAAAGAAAGTGTTTTTGTATAAATTTATAGTTTTACACACTTTACAGTTCATTTCATAGCACCTAAGATTATAATAATGAATGATAAAGATGTTTTAATATTCTATTCAGGTTTGTAAATGCTGTGGAACATAATGTGATGAGGCCAGAAGCCTGGCAATGTTTGGCAGTCTGTGGCTAGAAATTTTTCTATGAGTCTAGGCGTTTCTTTGTTACTTCTGTTTACTGATGTCTGAGGGAGTGTTCCCCCTCCTTACTAAAGTAGAGAGAGTGCAGTTTGGGGAAATGAGAGCAAATAAACTCTCTGAGGTTGGTAATGTCACCTGGTGGCTCACCTAGTCACTGAGGAACACGGAGCCATTTTTGCTGTTTTTCATCTCATCTTCTCATCACTTTCCAACATTATGCTTTTAATTCAGATAACTTCTCTTTCATTCTTATTGAAATTCTATCTGCAGGATTTACGTTTTTACTTTGATTCACTGTCTCTGTTCTGTTGCAGTCCTTTTAATTTTCTTTCCCTTTTCCCGTGAGTACCATGAATTTGGACTTGTGCTTGGTCCTAGGAATATAGTAATGAAATGACAGATGGAGCTGGCCGGTATCTTCGTGCTGCTTAAATCTAAGAAGAGGAGGTAGATGATAGTTACCTGGTTACGCTAGAAGGATCATAAACATTACATGTCTTTTACTTTTCTCTCTCTAATTCATTTTTGCTATATGTTTTCTTTATTTCCCTGCCAGACACTAATAGATTCCTAGCTGATGAGAACAGCTGTGAGTTTGATCTTAGCCAAGGGTCTCTTAAATTTCAGCATTTGGGAGACTTTGAAAACAGTTTTCTAGGCAGTATGCTGGCTTTTCCTGCTTTTGACATTAAAATTACAAGAGAATTTTTCTTACTATTCTGCTTAAAGTTATTAACAAAATTGATTCTTGACCTCATCTGGGTTGCAGTGGTATATAGCCATTTGAAAATTGGGGATTGTCTATGTGGTGTGTTCCATTCTGAGTGACACTGTTTACTTTTTAATTTGATAGTAATATTTCCCAATCCCTTTCATTGCCATACCTAAAAGAAAAATTTTTTTTTTTAGTTTCAAATTAATTTCTTTAGGAAGAAAAATGAAATACCAACACATAATATCTTATTTAGGTGAGGTTAAGCTTTTAAAAATAATAAACTACTACTATATGATGCTATTTAAACATGGAGGACAGTATTGTCCTGTTGACAGCAGGTGTCGTATTGGACTCTATGTTAATGTTTACAAATTTTCCAGAAAGCAGTTTGAAAGTGAAATTACTATTTCAAAAATATGTGTGATAAGAATTTATTAGAAAACAATGCCTCTGCCTCTCTTTTGATATTTATTTATTTTTATTGGGAAGGCTGACTTAGAGAAGGAGATACAGAAAGATCAATCTTGTATTTATTGGTTCACTCACCAAATGGCTACAGTTGCCGTGGATGAGCCAATATAAAGCTGGAAGCTTCTTTAGGGTCTCCCGCACCATTGCAGGGTCCCAAGACTTTGGGCTGTCCTCCACTGCTTTCCCGGGCCACAAACAGGGAGCTGGATGGGAAGTGGAAAGCAGGAGCACAAATTGGCGCCCATATGTGATGCCAGTGCTTGGAAGTGGAGGATCAGTTGGTTAAGCCATTGCACCAGCCCTAGTGCATTCTTTAAGAACTTGAGTTGTGAAGAGTTCCCTCCATTCCTCTAATTTTTTTTTTCCAGATTCAAATCTAAACATTTAGGTGGCTCAGAGGCTTAGTAATCCAGTAGCAGCTTGATCCTTCGTGCAGCCAAGTGCAAGCTTTTGGCCAACTCAGGATTGTCATCTCCATGTTTCCCTGTGCCTGGCTTGGCTTCCTCCCTTTCTTGGCTTCATTAATTACTCATCTTTATTGTGTCATTATAACTACAGGCATTCCTGATGGTTATAACCCTGTGTAAAGTATTTCCCTTTCAGTGGCAAAATGGTTAGCAATTGGTGCAGAGAGCTTGAGGAATATACTGTCTTTCAACTTCTTACTTGGTTTAAAATTACAGAAATGTTGTAAGAAAAACCCAGCTCCTCCTTAGAAACTATCATGTCACTCTTTGGCAATTTGTTTTGGACTCCCTCCCACCATGATTACTGAATTGGATGGAAGAAAATAGGCTTGTCTGATTACAGTTGAAGCATGTGGTACTGAAAGACATTGTCTCAAATTCCTTCATTAACACAACGTTTATTTTTATATTTTTTAATTTATTTTCTTTTGAATGTTGTTTACATAGTTGAGAGGGATGCTTGCCCGTGTAGGCCTATGATTAGGGTAGGGAGGGTTGTGGTGTGACAGAAGGTTGCAGTGTAGAGGAAGGTGGATGGGACAAACATTTCAATTGTTGTTGTTGTTTCCTTTTTTCTTCGTCTGTCTGCCGAGTAGGAGAGCAGGGGTCCTCTCCTTGCCATCAAACTACTTCCGCTCTCTGGGATGGGAAATGAGAGAAACCACTATGTGGGGAAGAGTGTTCCAAGGATGTTACTTTATTGTTTTTGGTAGTTCAGAGATGTTGCTTCATTGTACCAGGGTTGAGAAAATCACCAAGTCCCTCTCAGCGCATCCACTGACCCAGGCACTTGCTGCAAAAATTGGCCAGGAGAGTTGTCAAACCTGTTCTGCTTCCCATCCTCCGATGAGACAGTCTTCTGCTGACTGGGTGAACATCAGAACATGCTGTCCACGGCACAGGTGTGAGTGACTGAGGAGGCCAGTTCCCAATTCATGCACTGCAAGGTCAGACCACATAGATTGTGATCAGGTTTGTTTTGTTTTGTTTTTAGAAGAATCTGGAGTTGTGAGTTCTTTTTTTAAATTTTATTACAGATTTTTTTAAAAATTTTTATTGGAAAGTTAGATATACAGAGAGGAGGAGAGACAGAGAAGATCTTCCATCCGATGATTTCACTCCCCAAGAGGCTGAAGTAGCCAGAGCTGTGCCTATCTGAAGCCAGGAGCCTGTAGCCTCTTCCAGATCTTCCTTGCGGGTGCAGGGTCCCAAGACTTTGGGCCGTCCTCGGCTGCTTTCCCAGACCACAATCAGGATGCTGGATGGGAAGTGGGGCTGCTGGGATCAGCATTGGCACCAGTATGTGCAAGGTGAGGACTTTTAGCTGCTAGCCACTGCTCTGGACCCTGGCCAGGTTTTGAGTCCAGTGATTTAGTTGGAGATTCCCCCGAGTATCTCCTCCTCTCTGTATGACCTCAGATTTGACAGTTGTGTGTCAGCCAGTTCAGGGTCAAGTGTGTTCTGTCACCTGAACCAGTCAACATACATATCGGTGTATATAGCTGCCTGGTCATTTCTCTCTCCCTCCACAGGCCCAGTCTTTATGCACCCCCAGTGCTGTGGCCTGATTTGGGTAACACCCAATAGGCCCCACCAGACTTGCTGCCAGCCCTGATTTTTGTACTGGCATATACAATGACAGCTCAGTCTAGCCCCCATTCCAGCTTGCTCTCCTGTACACCCATGGGTGCTGCCCACTCTACCCCACCCCACCCCACCTGAGAGGACACCATTTAATGTAGTATATATAACAGATAAGCCTGAACTCACTGGGTCTTTCTCCATCTTATTCAGGGACCTTGACGCTATATAATGAATCTCCTGCCTTCTCTTTCATTAAGGGGGCATTCCTGTAGTGCCGAAGGTTTTGCAGGCTTCGCTTCCTTAATTCTGTTCTCTGTTCTGGATTGCTGGTTTATCACCACCTGCACCCAATCTGATATTTGTAGTACATTGATTACTTTCTTGTTTTTGTTTTTTTTTTTATTAGAAAGTTAGATATACGGAGAGGAGAAGAGACAGAGAGGAAGATCTTCCGTCCATTGATTTCACTCCTCAAGTGACCATAATGGCTGGAGCTGAGCTGATCTAAAGCCAGGAGCCTCTTCCTGGTCTCCAATGCAGGTGCAGGTCCCAAGGCTTTGGGCTGTCCTCAACTGCTTTCCCAGGCCACAAGCAGAGAGCTGGTTGGAAAGCAGGGCTGCCAGGATATGAACCAGTGCCCATATGGGATCCCAGCGTGTGAAAGGCTGGAAGGGCATTAGGTGCTAGGCTACTGGGTTGGGCCCTGTAATACATTGATTACTTTCTTTGTTGCTGATGAATTTTGCAGTTTTGTTTTGAAATTTACTTGAGCATGTTTGGCACATTGCTTTATCTACATGAGAAAGACAGTGTTATTCCAATTAAACCTGAAAATTGGAAGTAGATCAGCATATATACCCCTTGTTTCAACTATGTGTATCATAATTATTGTTGTAGGTTTTTCCTTGATGAAAATGAGCTGAGTTTAGCTCTCTATATTATTCTTACCTGGATTCTTTATTTAGTACATGTTCAGATGATGCTCAAAGTTACAGTTCATAGTCTCGAGCCGTTTCTTTGCTTTGCAGAGAGGTAGGATGATTAAGTAAACTCTTTGAAGATCAGGTACAAGATACATGCAGTGATTTCAGTGATCAAGAGGTCTGTGGGACCAATGTCGTTATTCTAAAATTGTGCTCCCCACCAAAGTTTCTAAAATCTGATCAGTAAGTGAAAACTTAATTGTAAGCTCATCTTTCAATTAATGTATCTGAAGTCGATGTTCTTTTATCAATGGCCTAGATAAAATAATCCGTTTTTCTAAATATGTTTGTGTATAAGCTAAGAAGAGATTTTAATTAAAAAATTTCGGGCCTGGCGACATGGCCTAGCAGCTAAAGTCCTCGTCTTGAATGCCTCGGGATCCCATATGGGTGCCGGTTCTAATCCCGGCAGCTCCACTTTTCATCCAGCTCCCTGCTTATGGCCTGGGAAAGCAGTCGAGGACGGCCCAAAGCTTTGGGACCCTGCACCCGTGTGGGATACCCGGAAGAGGCTCCTGGCTTCGGATCGGCATAGCATGGGCCGTTGCGCTCACTTGGGGAGTGAATCATCGGATGGAAGATCTTCCTCTCTGTCTCTCCTCCTCTCTGTATATCTGACATTCCAATAAATAAATAAATGTATAATAATAATAATAATTTCATTACAAACTAAGAAGAAATATGTTAGTCATTGTAAGCTGGCATACATTTTATTCACAAAGTAAATTGTTAAGTTGCTAGGCTAGACTAAAATTACAGGAGCAGCAGCATTTTTAAAACTTGATATTAGAAAGTTGCTTAGGAAAAGTCAAAATAGAAAACATCTTTTGTAAGCTTATTAGTAACTAGAGTCCTATGGTTCTCTGCCTTTTTTATTGTCTTTATTGTGTTGGTAGGCCTGTTATGAATGCACGGAGTCCCTGGCCATTCATTTCTGCTTCAGAATGTTCTAGATCTTTAAGGCCTGGGAAAGAACGGGGTCTGTGAAAGACTCTGTCAACTCTATCTTGTGAAAAAGTATAGATCTCAGTTCATTTGGGTCAAATGTCTGTATTTTTCAGAGTGATTTGAACTTTCATATTACATCAGCAGGGCAAAGTTACTAATATATCATTCAACATTGTAGAAATCAGACGGTTTACAAAATGTTTCATGTGATAAAGTGATTCTAGAACCTGTTATTGTTTTAGAAAAGGATTTAAAATGTGGATTTAAAAAAGGATACTTTATTGTCCGTGTCCAAAATCACAGTCATTTGCCATGTGTATCTGTTTAACTCAAATTGAAAATGAAGTTATAAGTTGGTTCTAAATTTTTTAGCAAGTGTTCAATAATTGGAGGTGCCTAAATGGCTATTCTACTGGAAAGTTTCAGTGATAAAAACCTTTGCAGCATTGTGGAATAGTATGATAAATGATGCTGTTATAGAGAGTACAAGTTATAACAGTTTTATTATTTATTAAACTCCATTGTACAGTTTATATTAAAGTATAATGCTGATTTTCTGTTGTCCATTTCCTGAAAAATTAAGAGCTACTGATAACCTTGAAGGTTGTCATTTTGTTATAGTTTGTTATATTTGAACACAAAATTAATTAGAACACTGAGTTATAAATTTTAATATTTAATGTTTAAATATGTGAGGTGTGCATTATCCAGTGCCATGCAGTACAGTAGATACTAGACACATATGGCTCTTGAGCACTTGAAATATAATCAGTATGAGTTGGAATGTACTATCAGGGTAAAATTCACAATGTACATTGGATATTTAGATTTAAAAATTTCAATTTTCAAATACTATATTGTATGTGAAATGAGAACATTTCATGTAATACTGTATGTAATGCTGTATGGTATTAAACTATATTAGATGTAATTGTAACTTTTTTGTATTTTTATGAATATGTCACTAGAACATTTAAAATTATATTGCACACCTAGTGACATACAAAGCCAAAATCAACAAATTTCTAAAGATCTGGTTTTTAAAAAATATTTATTTATTTTTATTACAAAGTCAGATATACAAAAAAAAGGAGAGATAGAGAGGAAGAACTTCTGGCCGATGATTCACTCCCCAATTGAACAAAATGGCTGGTGCTGTGCCAATCTGGAGCCAGGAGCCAGGAGCCAGGAGCCAGGGTCCCAAAGCCTTGGGCCATCCTCACCTGCTTTCCCAGGCCACAAGCAGGGAGCTGGATGGGAAATGGAGCTGTCGGCATTAGAACCGGCACCCATATGGGATCCTGGCGCGGTCAAGGCGAGAACTTTAACTGTTAGGTGAAGCTGCCGGGCCCAGATCTGTTTATTTTTATTTAAAAAGTAGATTGAGAGACAGAAGGAAAGGTAGAAAGGGAAGGTCTTTCATCTGCTGATTCACTGCCCAAATGACCACATGGCTGGAGCTGAGCTGATCTGGAGCCAGGAGCCTCTTCCCACTTGGATGCAGGGATCAAGGCTTTGGACCATTCTTTGCTCTTTCCCAGGCCATAGGTAGGGAGCTAAATAGGAAGCCGAGTGCCTATGTGGGATACCTGTGCTTGAATATGAAGGATTAGGCTGTAGGACCACCACATTTGTCTTCCTTTTTGTGAATTTGTAATGTGGAATCTAAAATATTTATTGCACATACATTTTTGTCCTATATTGACTTAAAAATAGCACCAGTGATATAAAAGTCTTTCTGGACATCTTATATCTGTATCAAATGGAGGACCTGGAACTAAATGAGTGATACAGAAAGTATGAAGGTGATGATCTAAAAATGAAGAGTTTGCCCCTATTGAACAGCTGTCACCGAGACTTTGGGTATTATATCGTCATAACATTCATTGAAAGATGCATATGATTCAAGTGAGTAGGAAGTGGTGAGCTGGAAGGCTTTCATGAAGCTCACTAGTGGACATGAATAGCCCAGATGCCTGTCAAGGATTTCAGTGTAGATCTGTGATAGGAGAATTGGAGAGTTAGATTGAGACTGAATATTGAGATTCTGGGGTCAAAGTGAGAAATAGGGTTGGAGCTTTAAAAATATGCAAGTGAGAAGTAACGTAACTAGTATTCTCTTGAAAAAATACTTGGTTAAAAATGCTATCCATAGCTACTTTCTGGAGTGAGAAAACAACAATACTGTCCTTTAGAACCTGGAGGAAAGAGTAGGTTTGAGAAGTGAGAAGGAAGAAATTGAAGGTGACCTTGGTTCCCAAAAATATGAAACAGAAACAAACCTTTATAGTTTTAAAACTCTTGAGAGGGGCCAGTGTGATAGCCTAGTAGCTAAAGTCCTCACCTTGCATGCACTGGAATCTTATATGGGTTATGCCTCATGTCCTGGCTGCCCCACTTTGCATCCACCCCCCCTGCTTATGGCCTGGGAAAGCAGTGAAGGACTGCCCAAAGCCTTGGGACTTTGCACCCGCATGAGAGACCCGAAAGAGGCTACAAACTGGTGGGTTTGGATGAACTCAGCTCTAGCCATTGGGGCCACTTGGAGAGTGATCTTTCTCTTTGTCTCTTCCCCTCTGCAGGTAATGCTTTCCAATAAAATAAACAAATCTTTAAAAAATTCTAATGAAGTGAATAGAACCTTTTATTGCAGATAGAACAATTGAGATTTGGTTCCTTCAAAGATCAGTTATTTTGTAAAGATTTGCTTATTTATTTGAAAGGTGGAAATAGATTGGAGAAAGGCCAAGAGATCTTCCATCCACTGGTGCACTTCTGACATAACTGCAGTAGTCTAGGCTAGGTCAGGCTGAAACCACCAGCAGCTTCTTCAGGGACTCCCACTTGGGTGGTAGGAGCCCAAGCCACTTGGTTCATCTTCAGCTCCTATCCCAGGAGCGGCAATAGGAAGCTGCATCAGATGTTGTGCAACAGCCAGCACATAGATTAGGGTGCCCCATTACAGGGTTCTTTTGTTGCAAATGGCAGCTTAGCTTGCTCTGCCAAAAATCTGGCTGGAAGATTGATTGATTAATTTTGTTCATATTGGAGGTGGTGGCAGAGTCACAGAGAGAGAAAACACTCTTGGATCTGCTAGTTCACTCTTCAAATTGCAGCAGTAGTCCTACTCAAGCCATGGATGGAAGAGAGCTGAACACTTTGGCCATCATCTGCTGCTTTCCTGTGTGCATCAGGGAGCTGGATCGGGGATAAAATAGCTGGGACTTGAACTGGTATTCATATGAGATGCCGGAGTCTTCAGGCAATGGCGTGGCCTGGCTTAGAGCACTGGCCAAGAGGATATGCTTTTCAAGGACTTGGCTGAATCCACATATAGAAGCACCAATTGAGCCCAGGTCTTTGTCCTACTGTGTTGTCATTGACCTCTACACATTACCTGAATTAGTTCTCAGGTGTTTTTCTGACTCTTGATTACATGACCAGTGGGTTTTCAGTAAGTTTTATTAGTTTTGTTTGGATGTTTTTCAGTTCTGCTCATTTCTGTCTGTACTACCTCTGCCATAGTTCAAGTTACTCCCCTCTTTGCAGATTATTGTTTCTCTAAATTTAACTCTGCCTTGCACCCCATTTCCTAAAAGAAAAAAATTAAGAGCTCCTTTTACTTGAAAATCTGTCTTCTTTCAATTCAGTCATTGAGATTTTTCTAAAACCCAGAGCATTCTCCTCCTTAAAATTATTTAACAAAATCTGTACTTCTGAATGTTGCCTTTAAGACTCTTTATGAACGGGCACTGTTCCTGTGTCAATGCCTTAGTTTTTATCATCATTTTTTGGGATTTTTTTGTTGTTTGTATTTCAACTGTTTGCATCTATTGTGTTTCTCTCTTCTCTGCATTTCTCCCTCAGCTCCATACTTCAGGTTTTAGCTTGACTGTTTATTTACTTGTGTCTCACTACATTCCTTCCCTTTTCCCTGTATGCCCTCCTACTCCACTAAGAAGACCACTCACAAAAATTAAGTAAGGATAGGAACTATTTCTTAATCGCAAACAATAGACCAAAGAAATTTATTGAGTGAATATTTTTATGTTTAAAAGTTGTTTCAGTTTATGGGACGTTTCAGTGGCGGGTTAAGTCTAAAAAACAAATGAAAAAAATTAGACTGTTACTTCCCAGCTTGAGCACTTGTTTGCTGTAAGATCAAATATATTAGAGAATTTTATAGATTGTCTCACTGTCTTGAATAGTCATATTGTATCATAGAGAAATCAGTAGACAGTTCCACAAGTTCCACTTAGCAAGAAAATATATTTTTTTAGCTTGGCATTTTCCCAGTGTATTTGATTAGGGAAATTTGATTTAAACAACACTTGTGATTATTTGTCACTGATTGTGTTTGGTAGTTGGAAGGTGCAAAATTTCACAGGTGTTTGTTTTTTATTTGTGGTCTATTATAATTCAGAAGCATAACCATATCATGTTCAAGGTGTATTTGGCAGAAGTATGTTTACAGTCTGAACAGAGAAGCTAAGGGAAGATATACCAGTCTTGAAGGCTTAAGGATTGAAGAAAGATTAATAATACTGTTTTGTAAACATTAGACTAAGAGAGTAGTGTGGTAATTATTTATTGGAAATTTAATTTTTTAAATTTAGAATAACTTGTTAATAATTAGAACTGCACAGAATATTAAGCCAGTACATTGGACTATAACTGTGTGTGTGTTGGTGTTTGGTGGAGATTCTCAAGCAGATATATAAGGGAATGCTATAAAGAAATTTAGCACATCAAAAAACAGTCAATTTATTTCTAATTCTTTCAACAAACAGATTGACAGTTTCAGTTGTAAAGTTAAATGCTTTTAATGATTTTATTTAAAAAGAGAATTCTTTTTTAAACATTTATCTATTTGTTTTTGAGAGGCAGAGAAAACGAGAGAGCTCCTGTCTGCTGGTTTATTACCCTAATGCCTGCAGTTTTCCCAGGTCTAGGCTGGGGCCAAAGCCAGGAGCCAGATACTTAGACCATAGGCGGCAGGAACCCAATTACTTGAGTCATTACCAGTACTTCTGAGTTGGCTGTCAGGAGCCAGATCCAGGATTCGAACCCAGGTGCTCTGGAGGTCCTAAGCACCAGATTAAATGCCTACTCCCCAGAGATTCTTTTGAGTCTGGTATTTGAGTCATAGAACATTTTAAGTTGAAGTTTCGAGTTTTACCTACACCTCTTAGATTCACATTTGCTCCTCTTAGTCCAATGTAGCCTTCCCCTGCTGTGGATATCCTGGGCTGTGGTAGTACATGTGCTATGATGGTATAGGATGGAACCTACATTGACATGTCATTATCACCCAACGTTCACAGTTAAGTTTCCCTTTTACTTCATGATAGTTTGGTGGAAAACGCAAATATTCTTGTTTCTCTTAAAATTGTTTCAGTCTTATGCTGTTTTAGATTAGGCTTTTATGATTCAAAGATCTAAAAGCTAAGATCAGTATCTAATTTAAAAATGTTTTTAGGAGTGGGGGAATTTTTTTTTAATTAAATGCTTTCTTTTGCTTGCTAACAGTGGTCTGTTTTTACTTTTTTCTCTGTAAAGTACCAAAGGAATTGGTGGAACTCCATTTGAAGTTGATGAGGAAGATTGGCAAATCCGTTACAGCAGACAGATGGGAAAAATATTTGATCAAGGTAACAATTTGTAAAATTAACATTAGTAAAATTGCTCTAGTATAAATTGATGTTATATTTCCATAATATGCCTAAGTTTTTCTTTCAAAAATTATTTACTTATCAATGTATTTATTTGCAAGGCTGAAAGAGACAGGCAAACAGCAATTGCCTCTGCACTGGTTCATTCCCAGTTACCTGCAACAGCTGGAACTGGACCGCATACCAGTTCTGGGAGCAAGAACTCGTGCAGGTTTCCTTTGTGGCTATCAGGGCTAAGCAGTTTGAGCCATCACATGCTTCATTTCAGAGTATACAGTTAGCCAGATACTGGAATCCAGAGCAGAGCTGGGATATGAACTCAAGCATAAGGAAATGGTACTTTAGCCACTCTGCCAAATGCTTGCCCCAGTATGCTTGCATTTTCTTTTTTTTAAGATTTATTTATTGGAAAGGCGGATATACAAAGAGGAAGAAAGACAGAGAGGATCATCTCTGTCCTATGGTTCACTCCCCAAGCAGCTGCAACTGCTGCAGCTGAGCCAATCTGAAGCCAGGAGCCAGAAGCTCTTCTGGATCTCCCACATGGGTGCAGGGTCCCAAGGCTTTGGGCCGTCCTTGACTGCTTTCCCAGGCCACAGTCAGGGAGCTGGATGGGAAGCGGGGCCGCTGGGATAAGAACCAGCGACTGGATGGGACCCCGGGCATGTGCAAGGGGAGGACTTTAACCACTACGCTATTACACAGGATCCTGCATTTTTTTTTTAATAGTCAAAGTTACACAGTGATGCCCAAATCCATACTTGGTTGCTATTAAGTAATTGTCTCGAGTCCTAAAGTTAGATTTCAGAAGTATTATGTCTCTTAATCTTCCATGTTCCTTAAAATTCATTCTGATAAGGTCAGGCGCAGATAAGTCCAGGGCAGTTGTATTATTTGCTTAAGATCATGCATGAATAGGCAGAGCCAGGAGTTGTTCCTAACTTCAGATGTAAATCTATTGGTTCATTCCTCAGATGACTGTGATGGTCAGGGATTGACCTGATTAAATACAGGGGTTTCGTCTGAGTCTCTTACATAGATTACAGATGTCCAAGCACATGGACCATCTTGTATTGCCTTCTCAGGCCATCAGCAGGCAGCTGGGTAGGAAGTGGAGCAATTAGAACAGGAATCAGAGCTAATATCAGATGCTGGCAGCAAGTGTGGTGGCTTAAACCCACTGTGCCACAAAAATGGTCCAACCTAGGTTATCCTAATAAGCTTTTATGATTGACCCCTTTGTCCCTGGCACAACAGCCCATTTGACTCATCCTAAAGCTGCCAGTGCCACCATCTCATATGGGCACTGATTTGTGTTCTGGCTGCTCCATTTCCCATCCAGCTTCCTGCTTGTGGCTTGGGATAAGATAGCAGAGGAGGATGGCCTAAAGCCTTAGAACCCTTGTACCTGTGTGTGAGACCCAGAAAAAACTTCTGGCTCCTGGCTTTGGATCGGCTCAGCTCTGAGAGTAGAGGTCATTTGGGGAATGATTTAGTGGATGGAAGATATCTTTCGTGTCTGTCCACTGTGTAAATCTGTCTTTCCAATAAAAATTAAAATAGTTAAAAAAAAAATTTCCCCTGTAAAGGCAATACCATTCAAGATAAATTGTCTAGAATTCCATCTGAGTGTTAAGCCTAAATTATTGTATTTTTCTACTTTACATGATGTCTTTAAGGTGCATTCTGAAAATTTTTAAAACATAAGGTTATGTTTTTAAATGTTTAAAACATAATTTTTCTTGTTTGCTTTTAAAAATATGCTTATATACATGTACTTTTTCTTGTGAGCAGATGATTATGGAATTCTGTTGAAAGAATAATCATTAGTGACCAAGAGTTGGTTAGGGAGCCTATATTGTGACGTACTGAGTTCAACTGCTGCCTTTGAAGCCAGCATCCTATCTAGGCACTGGTTCTTGTGTCAGCACTCTATTTCCTGTGGGGAGAAAAACCAGTGGAAGATGGCCCAGATGGTTGGCAGATGCTTTTGCTTCTTGCTTTGGTTTGGCCCTGCTCTTACAACCATCTGGGTAGTTAACTGATGGCGGGTCTTTATCTGTCCCACTCAGGTAAATTAAATAAATAAGAATTTCTTCTTTTTGTATTGTTATTATCATGACCTGTTATAGTTATCTCTGTTATGGTACACCACTCCAAATTAAGAGAAATCAAATAATTGTCATTTTAATTAGCTCGAAGATTTTTGGGGTCAGGAATTCTAAAAGGTACTTGTTCCCTCTTCTGTTGGTTGAAGAAGTTAAAACTGCTCAGATTCAAGGTGAAATACCAGAGGCACCCCACAATAGATGGTAGGAGTGTGTGACTTTAGGAAAATCCAGTATAAAACATGTTTTATTATTGTTTACCTAGGTTTAAAGCATTGTGAAGCGAGTTCCACATTACAAAAATTTGGGGCAATGAGATTCTCTAGAAGCCTAATTGTCTAGTGCTAAATTAAATCTTTGAAATATTTTTGCTTGAAGGAGAAGTAAGTCATTTTTTAAACTACCAGATATGCTTTTTCAAGTATCAGTGAAATCCCTATTTGTACAAAGTGATTACTAATGATTATTTCTTCAGGATTTATTTTATTGAGTTGAAAGGTTGAGTTACATAGAATGGCAGAAATAGAGAGTTTCCACCCCCAGGTTCACAACTTAAATAATCTCAACAGCTGGTGTTGGTCCAGGAGCTTCATGCAGGTCTCCACGTGGTATAGGAGCCCCACTGTTTTTCCCAACACATCAGCAGGAAGCTGGGTTGGACCTGGAGCTACTGGGATTATCATTGCCAGCAATGAAGAGTCAGCAGTTTGAAACTTAGGAAGAACTACTGGGGTCTCAAATCACTGGTTCTATAGTAACATTTAAAGGGACTTGAATGAATGTAGTATCTTGTAAATAAATTTTTTTATTACATACTTTAAAAATTTTTATTTGGTAATGTTTGATGATTGAAACTGCTATATCTTATATACTGACCCTAGCTGTATTGTAGGATCATGAATAATCACCTTTGCCCCCTCTGGTCTCAGTTCCTTTTTAAGACAGAGACTTGAGATAATTTTAGATGATCCTTCAGGTGTACAATTGTTGATTGAATTATACATTCAGTAATACGTTGAATGGAGATACATTCACATACTGTAAGTGCATTTGAAGTGTACAGTTCAGTAGTTTTTAGTATATTTGTGAATTGCAGCCATCACTTTCTGATCTAGAACTTGTTCATCATCCCCAAAATAAACTTCATACTCTTTCATAGTGTTCCACTTTGCAGGACCTTACAGTGACCACTGCTCTGTTTGCAGACTGGATTTAGCGATTCTTCTGTGACATTTAATGTATTCCATTCCATTCCATTTGGGGAGTTATCAAGTGGTAACGCTGGTTGTGAATCATAACTGTGGAATGTCTACTGCATGGTATAAGAAAGGATGAAATTCTACCATTTGTAAAAAATGGTCCTGACTAGAGACCAGTATACTCAATGAAATAAGCAAATCCTAAAAGGACAAATATCATGTTTTTCTCTGATATAAGACAACCGGCATGCAAAATACAAGATAAATAGATACATAGGTAAGCACGTATATTCATATATTCTCATAGATGAGATGTATAATGGGGACTAGCATACCAGGAAGTGAACATAGCATTGCAGTATGCATTTCTACTCCCAAATAAAAGGAGGACTCCCAATGAAATTGTTAAGTAAGACTTGATAATAGGATGCTGAACTTCCTACCATTGCCTATACCTACAAACCTACATTCAGTTGGCAGAATACTGGACTTGTGACTGATGCTGAAGGAATATACTATTGTAATAATATGGGGAAAAACTGTGATGGGCAGAGAATGAGGAGGTAGGCAGAAGAAGTGGGAGGAGGGGATCTTTTTACCTATAAGAAGAAAAAGTAGCTAGAATAATCTAACAAAAAAAGTGGAACATAGAATTGCAAATTACTAGTTTCTCCTGTAAATTGGTTGAATTTCTAAAGTAACTAAAGTATTTATTTTATTATTTTCTATTTTTATTTTTATTGCAAAGTCAGATAAACGGAGAGGAGGAGAGTCAGAGAGGAAGATCTTCCGTCAGATGTTTTACTTCCCAAGCAGCCTCATCAGCCAGTGCTGCACCAATCTGAAGCCAGGAGCCAGGAACTTCCTACAGGTCTCCCACGTGGGTGCAGGGTCCCAAGACTTTGGTCTGTCCTTGACTGCTTTCCCAGGCCACAAGTAGGGGGCTGGATGGGAAGTGGAGCTGCAGGGATTAGAACCAGTGCCCATATGGGATCCCAGCGTGTTCAGGGTGAGGACTTTAGCATCTAAGCCACACCGCAGGGCCCACTATTTATTTTATTTTGAGTGTTTTTAAAACTCCTTTGGATGGAAAAATGATACTATTTAGTTATGTCATTGCCGCATTTTTGTTGAGTGGTTGGCTATAAAATAAAAATGGTAGAAAAATTGTTGTATCTTTTTCCTCTTACTGTCTTGATCATCTTGATGATTTACATTCTGACATAATGCAAAATTGTATTCTACCAGAGTAGTTATGGTGATAACATCTGCTTCCATACTGTTCTTAGAGTTTACTGAAACTTACAGATGTTCATGTGAGCATTTTCTGACTACTGTTTTATTTACGAATACTGGCACAGAGCCAAACCTCTAATTTCATTGTACTTCCCAAGAATTCTCCATATGTGTTCTACTTGCCTTTTTACTTCTTCCTGCATTCTTGCTATCTAGTTCCTGCTCCCACTGTGCTATCAACAGCATTGAGATTCCTGCTGCCCACTTTGTCACGTACAATGTGCATTCTTCAGTTCTTGTTTACCCAGCTTTTCAAAGGAGTGTTTATTTTTGCGGGCCAGTGCAGTGGTGTAGCAAGCTGATTATCCACTTTTGGTTCTGGCATCCTTTATAGGTCAGAGGCCATCTGTGAGACCCCTTCCTTTGACCCCCAGTG